TTACCAATAACATGTCGAGACTGTCAATATTCTCATTAAAAATGCATAGAAAAGTAGTTCCGTTGGGTAACAATTATTGATATTTTTGATAGAAGTTGGCCCTGTGGACTGTTGAGACAAGAATATGTCAAAGATTTATATTGTATTTTGATTAATGAGTTTTTTTGGAGTTGGGTTATCGAGTAAAGAATTAGCACCATCACTCAGAGTTGTTATTCATTCACTTTTGTTAGCAATAACGCCATGTGGGTCTCACAGATACACATCTAATTACTTTATTCTGGAGTGTATTAAGAAGTGTAATGTTGACCAAAGGGGAATTATCGTCCAATAATTTACTCCACTACTTTTCCGACTGACCTTTTTATTGCTTTTCCCTAATGTATACAATACTGAATTTGTAACATCAAGTTATTTCCTAGACTGACCTTTAAATTGCCACTACCTAATTTATACATATTGAGTTAATCTAGTAATGCCTTCGTCACATTTTCTCCAATCTTTAACACCGGCACCCAGTTGATGAGAAATTTGTACGAAACTAAATGTAATTTTGAACCAAATACTTATCGGCCAGGTGCTGGTACTGAAAATCTGAGCACTTAATGTGACCATGGCATAATTCATGTGCATGATTTCGAGTTATTCATGTACACTATCCTGTTTTCGAAACATATACAGATTCATATATTGTCAATCATTTTGACAACAAAAAAAGGAATAATGCATGTGCATTCTTTGGTGAATATATGGTGCACAAGAATATGGTATGTTTTTTAGTGTGACTTTTATATGGAATTCCAAAAATTGTAAATACATGTAGTTCTAAAACTGTCTCCTTATTGGATGACATACCTGTACAAACAGCAAAAAGCTCAAATTGGAAGATCTTATCATCTTAGTTCCATTTCCCCAAGATTTTCCATTCTTAATTAGTGCACATGAACCCAGAAATTAGTTTGACATGTAAATATTATCCTATAGAGGCTTATGCCCCATATCCATCATTGTCTTTGCATCAAAACATCACTTATCCAGAACAGTTTCGTTACGGAAGATTGGAGGAAAAGCCTCTGATTAAACTTTTTAACATAAATGACCTTAAAATAATTGAAAAACACCTAAGAGTTCTTAAAATTTCTTAACTTAATTGGGTTCATATGCAAATAAAATTGTCCTAAATCTTTCAATGAGAAGTATTTAATCAACAAATCAGAATAATTGAAAAACACCTAAGAGTTCTTAAAATTTCTTAACTTAATTGGGTTCATTTGCGAATAAAATTTGTCTTAAATCTTTCAATGAGAAGTATTTAATCAACAAATCAGTTGTATCCTTTAAACTTTTTCATACCTTAGGATTTATGATCAGTTCTCTGGGGGTATAAGTAGGATTTTGTAATTTATTGATACATTTTGCACTCAATATTTGTTTAATTAGGCAATTTGGCTGTTAATCTAACAGAACAATGCAGTTACAATGCTATTTTGATGAAGCAAGCGAAAACTGTTTATTTTCCGAAAGGTTATTCCGACAATTTCATTGACTGGAAATGAAGTATTGTCTCTGACACTCTGTGAATGTTTTGCAACTAAATTATTGATTGAATTTCGTAATTTGTTTTGGATCACCACACTTCTCTTTACAATATCTTATCTAAGGGAATTAAAATTGATTTTCATTGTCTGTTTCAAATGGTTGCATATTAGTTTATTTTTTCTGTATAAGAAGGAGATTTTTCAGTTATTTCCACATATTTTCTGATTCTAAAGTATATAGAATAGTTTGTTATCTGAGCACAGTGTTTGAAGATGGTTTAAGTTTGAAGTATCTTGAATTGTCAACTGATTGAAGGTTGTTATATAGAAATCAGTCGTCCTTTCTGATGTATTACACTGAACTAAAAGGCTACGCCAAGAGGCATACCAAGTAAACTGATGGGCTAATAGAAAAAAGAATGAAAATATATACAATATACATTCAAATAATATCATGACTTGCCCACATTGATACATTTAGTGTTAATACTGTCTGCATTGATCTTCTTTCAAGTGCTTGATTTCACTTAGCAGAATATGAAATTCAATCAAATATAATACCACAGGGAATCAAGCTATTCAGTTCAGAGTACCTGTTTTGAAATATTGCAATTCCCAGACATTTAAATATTTCATGGCATTTATTATGAGAACTGTTTTTAGCCTGGATTAAGGGCTTTACAGTATTATGTATAAAATCAACATCGAATAGCGTGTTTGATTTAGGAAAATGCTCAAATATATCATGATTTTTCTTGACATTCCCTTTAATGGTGCAAAACAAGTGGGAACCAGGAGATTTATATAAGGGTTACTCGGCTGTAAATCATAGAATGCGTTAATTTCCTGTTTCATTTTGAGATCATTATGTTATAAAAATTGGCAATTTATGATGATGCAACTACAATTTCTTTATTACAAGATAATAAACAGTAATAGATTGCGTTCCTGATTACACCACTGCCAAGCTTGGCAAATGTCAATTGGAAAATACAACAGGCAAATTTTCTTATAAAATGTTATTTTGTAAAATGAATAGAAATAATGATATAAAACAAGAAACACTTAAATACAGTAAAATAACTATTGGTAAATCACACATTTAACCCGCCTCATTATTGTTTGATGAATCGTTTACAATTCTCGTTCAGTTATCATTATTTCCAATTTTATGAGTAGGTACTGTACTTTTCTCATTGTCGTTGTGAGGAAAGACATTAATTCAACAAAAGCTTTTTGAAGATAATTTAGTGACTTCTTGCATTATTGTGAGATTACCTTGAATCATTTATAGGGTTTATATCCCCTATAGACTGTTAATTTACAGTCGGATATGACTTTTTGAATGTTAGGTCTCGTGAGACATAATGTATGCTTCACTAATACACTGATAGCGAAATATCCAATTATAAATATAGATCTTTCTTTGTGACTGATATAAAAATTGGTTGTGTGGGTGGAATTTTATATACCGGTTTACAATCATTGTCCATTGCAAAGTTTGCCTCATGGCTGATCTTCCATTTTCCCCTGCATAGTTTGACTCTGCCTCATGGCTGATCTTCCATTCTCCCCTGCATAAGTTTGACTCTGCCTCATGGCTGGTCTTCCATTCTCCCCTGCATAGTTTGACTCTGCCTCATGGCTGATCTTCCATTGTCCACTGCATAGTTTGACTCTGCCTCATGGCTGATCTTCCATTGTCCACTGCATAGTTTGACTCTGCCTCATGGCTGATCTTCCATTGTCCACTGCATAGTTTGACTCTGCCTCATGGCTGATCTTCCATTGTCCACTGCATAGTTTGACTCTGCCTTATGGCTTGTCTGCCATTCTCACCTACATGGCTTGCCTTCCATTGACTCCTTGGATAGTTTGACTCTGCCTAGTACCTACATAGCTGGCCTTTCATTCTCCTTTGCGCAGTTTGATGTGTATATGGCTGGCCTACCGATCTATTATACAATTGCTGATCAAACAGAATCATTATTCAAGGGATTGTTCAAAATACCCAAAATAATTTTGGCGTTGCAGTTTCTATTTTTAAGCTGTCTTGTATTTTGTCTTTTTTATTTTATTTTGAAGGTATTTTAGTGTGTGGCAGTATACACTATAACTGCAGTGCTTTGCACCAGTACAATGATAAATACAAATGTAGAATCTTAATGTTAAAGAATGATCATTAGGACATTTCTTTGTATTTTGAAATCCATTTTATTATGTCACCACCACAAGTGGCGACATATTGTTATAGTCTCCAACGTTTTTGTGGACAGTGGTTGGTATTCGTCTGTCAGTTGTTCAGGCATTCATCATCTGCCTTGTTATTTTTCTTGTACAAGCAGTTTATTCATTATATACTTATTCAGTCTTCATAATATGATACATGTCCAAGTAATCTTGTTCAGATATACTATATCAGTATATGTACATTTTACATGTTGTGTTTATTTTGACTTATATTATACATTTTCGTTGTTGTTTTCAATTTTTCATTCACCCATTACAGTACATCCTCTGCAAGGTTCATTGACACATTGCATACTATAATGTTGTACAAACTGATCAATCATAATAAAATGTAATCTATTTTATTTTTGTATCACTCAATGTTAGCTGCATTTTGTTATATACATGTATATATTAGATGTATATAACAACATTGTACATTGCACAGTCAAACACATTGTATCAATTAGCTAGATATATTGTATCTTACCTAGTTATTGAGTTCTGTTATTTATTTCTGGCAAAAATTATATACATAAAAATTATGTGACATCTTGAGAATGAAATTCCCAGGAATTTTTGTCAAGTGCTTTTTTCAAGTGTTACCTTGCATGATAAAACATTGGTGAAAATCTTGATTGTAACATATACAATGCCAGTTTAAACTATTTCGAAGTCCCCGTTGGTTTAGATAAAACAATCTGATATAAGGAGAGATAAAATTGCATTATCAGTGGCAAGCTGTGAAGTGAGTAATACAATTGACGATGGTCAATCCGCCAAGTTAAATAGCAGCTAAAAAATTTTAATTTGCCCGAACCGCCAAATTAATAGTGCCAATTTAAAGCAATTTACAGTGTATTGTATTATTTTGTACAGAACTTTTATGTGCTGCTCTTTTTTTTATAAGAAAGCATGTGTATGAATAATATTTACGCATGTTCATATATTATTAAGCTAAAACTAAATTTTTTTTCTTAAAAGTAACTGTTTGAGGGATTTAGACTTAGGTTATAGAGGTTAAATATGATATATTAAATATATAGTTCAAGTATGAAAATATAAAACAAATATTAATACGAATCTTAGAGAAGGCACAAATCGTCTCATTTTGAAGAAAAACAAGTTTCCTTAATTATTTGTGACTTATTCATACAGTACTCTATGGTAACAAAATAAAATGAAATCTCAATTTGATACACTTGTAATGACTTCTCCATTTTGTGTTTACAGCTCTGTTATTGCTCTATGATGTCACAACAAAGGCCAGCTTTGATAATATAAGAGTAAGTGGCTCATTTTCTTCCTGGTTAATCTCATTTCATTACTCTGTTGATTTTGTAACCATCCTCGTATCAAGAATGAGACTAAAAAGCTGCTCTTTGGAAAGAAGTTTAAATAGACTGAGTAGAGAGAAGTGGTTAGCTGTGCATGCTGTGATCTATATCAATATGAACTTGTATTATCTCACATGAATGTCGATCAAAACTGAAATATTCTGCAAATTAATGTTGCTCTTTCACAAAGTGAGCCAACTAAAATGAGGACATTTTTCAGTCTTCCCTACCTTAAAATATTTTTAATAATCACAAAAGTCATTTGTAATTATTTGTAATTAGTGCATAAAGTGTCTAAATGCATACTGCTATTTATACACACTTAATTCCTGTTTCTGTTACAGGCATGGCTTGCAGAAATTAATGAGTACGCTCAAGATGATGTTGTTATCATGTTGCTAGGGAACAAATCTGATATGACCAATGAGAGGGTGATACGCCGAGAAGATGGTGAGAGGTTAGCAAAGGTAAGGTTCTGTCAAGAAAGAGAATACCCCAGGATTCAGAGAAGACCATATTTTCAATGGAAATGTATATAGAGATGAACATTGTCATTGATTCGTCAAATGGCGAAATTTAAGGCACATCCAAATTTTTCTAAAAATGCTTTGAATAATATGCTCTTAATTTCAAGCGAGTTAACCAATATTCGAACATGACTGTATTCACTCCTTCTATAAACTGTGAACAAAGTCAACAATTTACTTGGGGTATATTCGCGAACAATACCCCTGGTGATCGAGTAATGTGTGACGTTATAATGACGGGCCATAGTAATTGCGGACCATAATGAATATTCGAAACATTTTGGTGAGTTTTCATGTTCGAATCGTAATATAGACCTCAGAGCAGGGGTAATTTTGTCAAATACACCCCTTAGGGCTAGGCACAAAAGCTTTCGAACCCCTCACTCCCTTCGGTCGTTCGGGTTACTGAAAACGTTTGTGCCTAAGCCCTGCGGGGTGTAATCGACGATATTACCCCTGCTATTCGGTCTATATTTCTTAATTGTAGCCTGTTATTTCACCAAAAGATAAAGAAACATCACATCAATGTGTGGTTTTTGGAAACAAGAAGCAAGAGACGTAATTATGACATGAGGTTAACTCTAAGCTAATAGGTTTTTCGTTCGGTTGTTTCTGTCAAAAACTGTTCATGTCTTGACACCTAAAGAAAATGTGTCCCAGTATTGGCCAATATGATGAATGAATGATGGAGTTCTCTACACTACCATATCCCAGAGTTTGGATGAGCAGAGTTCCATTTTTACACTCTCATCAAGAAATACCTCATCCTTTCATCTAGCCATACCCAATCAGATGGCTTAACAGAACGAAAGTGACCCAGAACCCCTACTTTTGAGTTCTTACCAACATCGAAACTGTAAAATTAATTGCAAGTAGTAACTGGGCCAAGTGTCCCCATGAGCTAGAACAAATTGCTGAAGGCCTTAGGTTGAACTGGGCTGTAATGGGCTAAATGTCTTGTATTGGAATATTGGATTCATGATTTCATTTTCTTATGTTTCAGGAATATGGAGTGTGCTTTATGGAAACCAGTGCAAAAACAGGCCTTAACGTAGATTTAGCATTTATGGCAATAGCTAGGTATGTACGTAAGCAGTGAGTAAAGTGTCTTATTTTAGTGTTATGGGACTTAGGAGAGCCATTTATAAGATGTAGGTTTAGATTGAAAGGTCCAACATGAACATGATAATAGATTTTTTCTTCATGTCAATATGATATATATATATAACACTGTCTCTCTCATGTAGCCTGGCTTGGTCCTCTTGTTACCATCCAAAGATTCAACGTTAAAGCCCAAATTCAGAACTAATGAACCATTTTACTCATACCTAGCAGGTACACAAAAGAAGCAATGATAACCCACCAGATCCAAAAACAAGCAACAGTTACCCCTACCAGATTTAAAAACAAGCAACAATTACCCCTACCAGATTTAAAAACAAGCAACAGTTACCCCTACCAGACCCAAAAACAAGCAACAATTACCCCTTATATACTAGATCCTCTGTCAGTACAGTGATGCCTGGAAATATAAACCAAATTTTGGAAATACGAAGAACATTTTTCAAGCCTCTCTTTTCTTTTAAGCAGTCATATGTTGGATGAAAGATATACCTGTCATAATGTTCCTATAAAGTGAAACACCTTCTCAAACTATGCTTAATTGTAATTATTAGTAAATATTTTTTTTCATAGATTATTCACTTACATATGCACTTTATTACAGGAACTATGCCTTTCAATGCTTTTTATATGATTTGTAGGGACTTAAAAAGTAAGAAAACTAGAAAACCCAATGAAGAAAAGTTCAACGTGGCAGAATTTGTGGACAATGAAAAACAGAAAGCTGGTTGTTGTAGCTAGTATCCATGGCAACCAAACAAAACAAGAGATCTACGCATGATTGAGCTTGCATTTGAACTTACATTTGCCAAGTAAAAAGTGGAATATATTTATAAAACAGCTAGAAGAGTTCATCAGAACTCATATATGTCATATAGGGGTGAGGGGTTCGTAAAACATTTACGCAAAGCCGCCTTTTTATTTGAATTGGGCTATATTTTTAACAGATCACTAGATATGTTCAAACAATTTGCAATATTGAGTCATTTTTTTTTTTTAAATCAGTTGCAATGATATTTTCAAGCACCTAACACGCTATTATATGATCTACAGTTACACCGATTTTTACCTTTATATGTTTAATTCACAATAAGTACAATGAACTCCTAAAGGGTCTTGATTTCAGTACAAATGATCACATATAGATTTTTTATGCTAGATCGAATAGATCAGATTATTCAGCTTTTTCAAAATAAATATTTATTAAATGAGTCAGTCAACTTGGTAGGCTGAATGCACCATTTATAAGCATTATCATGTAAATACGAAACAGATTTGCCCCTTCGGCCAACAATTAATGAATAATCAAAATACATTCTGGACTCCTCAGATTACTTATAAGGGAGTGTGGAATTTAAGAGGGGAATGGATGAAAGAGTATGATATTAGTTTAATGTATTAGCCTGGTGTCATATTTCATAATTCCCAGTCCAGACAGTGTGAAGAGGCATTGCACTCATTGAAAAATTCCATCCATTGTCTTCTACCAAAGAGTTGTTGAACAATCTTTATGCTTATGAACTGCCACAAATTTCACATGCTGCAATATAACAGACTAATAATGTATACATGTACATGTGTAATACCTATGTATGAAAGGCATTATTTAGATTAAGGTAGGCAAAGGTGTAAAACATTAGGACATATTTTGACAAGCTTATGTGGAAAGTATTTAGGTACCTGATTCTATTCCACCCACCTACCTTAATATAACATTATTCATTTGTAATCAGATTTTTTAGAGAATCGCTTAAAACAATGTAAAAATGGGGATGATTGAGGCAAGATATGAACAATATAAATATTATGATTTTTTGAGAAAAGTTGAAGAATTTTTACGCAACCCTTGTATTTTGGTCATTTTATCCCTATGAACGATGTTTGATAGGGCCAGGGATATAGTGAAGCCTTCTGTCCATCAGTCCATCTGTTTCTCAATATGGCAGTATGGAAAATTACTCAAATACTAGTGGATGGATTTTGTTCATATTCATTGGAAAGATATATACATTGGTAAACCGATTTACTCAAAAATTATTATTTACAAGATGGCCAACACATTGATGTTTTTTATTCATTTCAAACCCAAAATAATATTACTGTTTGTTGAAGTTTTGGTAGTTTATCCAGAAAATATATTTTTTACATATATTCCTTTTCTTACCTGATCTTTAGGAGCTTTGTCTGGGGTTTGAGAAAACAGGAAGTTTCATTGATTTTGAGATCTAGCTGAAGTATGACTTTATTGTTCTTAAATAAAAGCATTTTAGAGTAGATTGTAAGTATCATATAGTTTTTCATAACGTGCCTTGAAAATCAAAAATGGCCCCCTGATGTAGAATTTTTCCAATGAAAATCTCATTTCCACTATACAGTTGTTGTTTGTATATGCAATATATATTGCTTGTGTCATATTCAGATTCATGAATAATTCCGTTGGGATTTGCTACTCCATGGAGTTGACAATAAAAAAAAATTTGTAAGTTAATTATATATATGATTTCTGTCCTGAATTACAGCATTGATATTAGACATAACTACAGTGTAATCTGTGTAATTGCTATGCATATATTAATATGATATCAATTTCCCAAGGAATATCACTGACCCCATGCACAGTCCAGGTGATATATATCATTATGTATTACTATTTGTACAAAAACTATGAAATGTTCATTTTATGAAAAGCTGTCTTGTAAATGTTATTTTGTATATGATTAGATCTTCGTGTACAAGAAAGATATTTGATGAGTCTCGATAATTCTTTTCAGGTCAAAAGACGTATTATCACATATTAGCGAGTTATAGATTAAGTCTAATAGGTACAGGAAGTCATATTAGAAATGATAATGTGTGCACATTATTCTACCAACATACTATTATACTTTATACATTATCTGTGTTTCTTTTCTAGTCAATACAATGTGTAATGTCGAAGTCCCACTAAAATGTCCCAAACACTCATAGAATTCTATTATTTTATTCATTCCATTTTGTATATAGTTTATTTCAAATATACAGTAAATCTTTATATTGTAAACATTGATGAAAATACTCTCTGTATTAATTGCTAGGACTATACATAACAGTTTAAAATGAAATGTGTTAATACAAACGTTGTGAAGGTCAAGAACTCCTAAGGTCATTGTTCTCAGAATATGACATTATTATTTCCATGATTTCACCCATAGGCCAAGGGAAAAGTACTACTATTAAGCTGTATCTCTTCTAGATACACTTCATATAGTACTTTCCCCATGGCCTTTGGTTTCATCACTTAATTTAGGAATTCTTAATTAACTTTATATGTCGTTTCTGTTGATGGCCCCAGACAAGAGTTTGGATATATACACAATCATTTCAAACGTAAAATAGCTTATTTGTTTGACCTGCAAAAATGATTATTTCAGAGTACTTGATTGTAACTTTCAAACTAGCCAAATGGACCAATGAAATTATAAAAACTGTGAATGGAGAAGTAATGCTACGTTCTTAAAACATTAATGTGATTTGGTTGAGGGTATAATTTTAGTATATATGGGATAAATTGAAATATAGTTGTAGTGCACAATGAAATGTAATATATTTGTTTTGTAAAGGCATAATAAAGTAAATAGTATAACATAAATAAATAAGTTGCATTATATAACATATTAGTAGTTTGTGTTTCACTGAATTATTTTGTTATGGGGACACACAACTTTTTTTTTGATCTTTCCGCCAGAGTGGAATAGATGGCATTTTAAAAACAAGAATATTGTCCAATTGTACAGGGCGTTCAATAAGTATTGCTAATTTTGTTATAACTTTTGTTATTTTGCATATTTCTCCTTGAAACTTTTACAACATAAGCAACACATATCTGACCTTATTCTATCCAAATTTCTGGACAACCAACTTAGAATTGACAAAGTTATGGTTACTAGGGTAACCATTGTCACAGATACGCGGGGCAACCTTAAGGGTTTACATAATGAATTATTGTTATACATCCAATAAACACTTTGATGAACAAAAACTGCTGATATGGTCAAATCCTGATGTTGTCAGTTTGAATTATATGTATTGTCTAACAGCGCTGAAAAGAGATCTGAGAGGAATATCGCACTAGAATCTCAATAAGTGTATGTCTGCAGTGAACACTGCACATCCCTAGCCAAACACTTCAACGTCCTCAAAGAGCAATATCGGCATATACCTGTACGGTCCACCAGGATAACACCCCTGCTCACAGATTCTCTACTCTCCTGAATACAATAACAGAGCTTGGCATGGAAGCATTGCCCCACGCAGCATATTTCTTTTAGATAAGGCCCCACTTGATTTTGTTGTATTCGCCTCAGTGAAAAGGGATCTGAGAGGAATATCAAAAATGTGTACCATGAGTGGGTCGCCAGCCAGCAACTGTGCATTGACGTTAAGGGTGCCTGCCTGTTTTGAGCACCTCATGAAGTTAATATGGATCATGAAGTGACTCTGGAATGGATTATTTATAACTGCAATGCATATCCCAAGAGTTAAACTGCATTAAATGATATTGCTTTCAACACTCAAAATGTTGTCCAAAGTGACGTCAGAAAGCCCCGCATATCCATGATACTGGTTACCTTAGTAACCATAACTTTATTAATACTTATTCGATTGTCTTGAAACTATCATAGACTAAAGTCAGATATATGTACCTTATGTTGTGAAAGTTTCATGAAGAAAAAGCATACAGAGCAAAAGTTATAGCAAAATTAGCAATACTTATTGAACGCCCTGTAGATATATTAGCATCACCAGTGGTTGGATTTTGGTAAGTACATGAATGAAAAAGTGTAATCAAAACATGTCCACAAATCTTAGTTTTCTCTGAAAAACAAATCATTTAGATGGGAATATGCATGTTATAGCATTTGGTTGTGTTAGCCCTATAGCTACTACTTTGTGACTGGCATTCCTTGTTGGCCTCCTTGTCTGCTACTAATGGTTACACTTCAGCAGGGGGTCGTTTCCAAAAATGTCGTAGAGTTACGATATCGTAAGTCTACGACATTTTTGGAAACGACCCCCAGAGTAATTGCATCCAGACAGTGACTTTGCCATTCTAGTTCAAGGTGCACTTATTTCAATTTCCGTTTAAGGATGTTTCCTAGATGAAGAGATTTAATTTTTAATAGATTCGATATTGATTCTTGATCATTAGGATCTCAAAAACCATGTTTGAAAAGAAAAGATAATGTTGCAAATTTTGTAAGCCTCCATGTTCTTTGTAGGAGGAATTCAAATGATAATTGTTGTTATACTTAGCACAAAGAAAAATGTTCTAACACTTCGCCAAAAGAAAAATAAATATAGCATATATGTATTGTTATGCAGTTATTGGCCATCGGAAATCTGTGCTCTCAGAAGGCCGTTTAGCAGGCCACTCTTCTCGGATAATTAGATATTATTATAATATTGAAGATCAACTGTTTGGTTTAATTTTATGTCAAATGAAGCATTCAGATTTGTGCTGTAATGTAATGTAATGTGTTTGTAATGTAAAGGAACAGCAGTGGACAAAGAAGCGATCCTTGGGAGACCCCCGGGGGGAGACCCCTGTTTTTAAATGAACGATGTTTGAAAATTCGCGTCATCCACTGTGATTCAGATTTGTAGCTAGTATGTGCGAGATTCAATATGTTTCAGTATGTTTTACGTTTGTGTATGAGTTATGAATGCGAACTGTATCAAACGCAGAAAAAAATCTCCAAAGACGGGCATCTACTTCTTTTTCAAATCCATTTAGAATTAAGTCAACAATAGCTGTGTAGCTTTGAGCTCTGTATCGTCCCAAACTGCATCTTTGGTTATTGGTGATACTGTATTTAGGCTACTAATCTGTATGTGAGTTTTGTTATCAAATATGGGGGGGGGGTTCTAATCATGTCTTTATGGTATTTGGAAAAGAAAAGGTCAAATAAGATTTGCTTTTTTGTCTCCGAGTGTTCATTGGTTTTAAGACCAGTGTCCATTAGGTTTTATCAGAAGGGTAATCCTGGTCCAATAAATGGAAACTCAATTTTAAGCCTGAAAAAAGTGTCGAAATAGTTTTTATAATTCTAGAATTAAAATTGGTTAAGTAAACAATTCCTACATGAGTAACAGAGTAATGCTTTAATAAAAAGGGAAACATCGCATAAACACTTAGGCTATACTTTTGATGAGAATTTGTCTAACAAACAACATATATTAGCCATAAGATATAAAGTAAACAAGCTTCTGAACCCTCTCAGATCACTTCAAAAGAAACTCAATTCTAATGTCCTCGAAACAATCTTCATGTCTTACATTCGTCCACACTTCGAATATGGGGCAATCCTGCATGATTCTTCTACTCAATGTATCCTTAACATATTAGATAAACTATTTTATCAAGCTACCCTCATATGCAGTGGATGCCTGCATGGTAGCAGTTCAATTAATGTAAAGAATACCCTCATATGGCCTGGTCTAGAAACAAGGCGGTCATTTCAAATAAATAAATTTATGTTTAGAGTTAAAAATAGACTCACTCCAAGCTATGTGACAGATATTTTTGAACCTCTGAGATTTCAAAACCCTCGAGAACTCAGATCCAATCCCGACTTCAAAATACCAACCAAATGCTCAACCAAATTTAGAAACTCGTCTGTCCTCAATGACATCTCCCATTGGAATAAGCTACCTAAGCATATTAGAGATTGTAAAACTGCACTTTTTAGCCTCAATCATTTACAAAAAAGAAAATTCCAAAGCCTGACTTTCATCCAACTACTAAGTTAAAGCTAACAAGAAATCAAGAAATAGTCCTCAATAGTTTCAGAGTTGACCTGCTTACAAAAAGCTCAACTATATGAACACAACTTCACTTATATTGAAACTCCCAATTGTACTTGCGGTGCACCTGAAACGCCTAAACATTTATTTTTCTACTGTCCAAACATAGCACAAAACAGAAACACTTTTAAGTTTAAGTTTAAGTTTATTCCAATTTTTTAACATGTTACATATAGTATTCATATACAATCTGACGCAAAGCGTATATTGTAGTTCAAGGATCAAAAGTCAATATTTGTAAATACAATTATCTTAATGAAGTGCAGGAATGCAGGAAAAGTGAGATGGTAGAGTCTGCTAGAGTTACATATAAATTAATAAGTTGATATAATATAATGTTTAAGTGCTGCCTTGAATTTAACTGTACTGACACTGTGCTTAATTTCATTAGGTAGTTTATTATAATATGATGGTCCAATATATTTAAGTGAGTCCCACCCAAACTTAATGCGGTATTTAGGTTGGACTAAAAGGTGTTTAGATCTTGTGTCATGGCCATGTTGGGAAATTTTAAAATAGTCTTTAAAAATGTATACAGGAAAGCCAGATGGTATGTTTAAGCATCTATATACAAATGTAGCAACATTTAAATGATAAATATCAAAAATTGTCAAAATGTTTTCTCTTTTGAATAAAGGGGCAGTGTGCTCTCTAAAATGTGAATTTGTAATTAATCTAATACACTTCTTTTGAATAAGATGTATTGGTGTAAGTATGTTCTTTTTTACATGACCCCAAATAATATTGCAATAGTTAATTTGAGAAAGGATTAATGAATGATATACTTTAAGCTTAGAGTCATGATCAAGGATGTCTCTTACTTTATAGAGAATGCCTGTTATTCTTGATATCTTATTAGTAGTATGCTGAATATGCTTTTTCCAATTTAACTTTTCGTCAATAAATACTCCAAGAAAATTAACACTACTTTCTCTTTTTATTGGCACATTGTCAATATGTATATTTATGTCATGGATTAAATTTCTACCAGGAGTAAAAATTATGAAATTAGTTTTATCTAAGTTAAGAGATAGTTTGTTAGCTTTAAACCATTGATTAATTGTTTGCAGTTCTTTGTTTAATAGTCTAACTAGTTCATCCATATTACGATTAGATATAAGTAAATTAGTATCATCTGCATATAATACAAATTTGATAAGATTTGAGGTTGAAGTAATATCATTAATATACATTAAAAACAAAGTCGGTCCAAGTATAGATCCTTGAGGTACACCACATTTGATAATATCTTGATTTGAATAAGTGTTATTGTAGCAAGTGATCTGTTTCCTGTTTTCTAAGTAGGAAGTGAACCAATTTTTTACATTTCCCCTTAACCCATAAAAATCAATTTTTTCAAGTAGAATTTTGTGATCAACAGTGTCAAATGCCTTAGATAAGTCAAGAAACAGTCCTATGTTAAAGTTATTATCATCGAGAGATGTTCTGAGGTTTTCAAGAAAAGTTAAAATTGCCATATAAGTTGATTTGTTTGGTAAAAAACCAAACTGACTTGAGCTAAGTATTTTCTGTTTTATAATGAAATCTATAAGTCTTTTATGCATGAGTTTCTCTAGCACTTTTGAAAAGATGCTAAGAAGAGAAATAGGCCTGTAGTTAGAGAATAAACTAGGTTTTCCTTTTTTGAAAATTGGTGTAATTTTAGCTGTTTTAAGAACTCACACTTGTCTCACACTTGTTGAGCCTTATAAGCCTATAACCATAAAGAATAAAAACCAATTTATAGATTTTTTGAAATATGGCAGTGACATACTATACTTAGCACAAAATAATGAACTTTTTGCTTTTGTTGCCAACTTTTTGATAGAGAACACATAACATTATAGTTATATTTCTCTATGGGACCCTCCATGCAAGTATTACCTATTATTACCACCTTGCAGGGCCTGTTCTAGAGGTTTTAGTACCAGTTGAGAAGGCATTTAAATTGCTATATTGACGTGAGCAATATTGTGTCGGGCGTTAATGACTTTAGTCGGGCAATAATTATTATCCGCCCGGCTATGTTTCCCGGGAAAAGTGATATCGTTCAGTGCGTAAGATTTTCTATTTCAAATTTGCTATTTCAGCCCTGGTAGTAATAACGTCATTTCTGCGGGCAAAATAGTGAAATATTGGACCTTGGGTGGTCCAATATTTCACAATATTGACCTTTGAAATGACGTTATTGTACTATTCCCACTACTCCCTCACGAGACCATGGCACATGAACCCAAGCCAGTCCAATTTCCCACCTTTTACATATCTTGCCCTTATGCTTCCCTGTTGCATACATTTACATTTGTACTTAATATGTTGTTCAGCTTAGCCAATTATGCCAGTAAGGCAATTGGCAAGCTATTATGTATCAAAATATTTACATGATGAAATATATAGTTAATCTATAGAAAAATTAGAAGGGTCTTTCAATCGATTGCATTGATGACTTTTTGAATCACGAAACATCCCAATGTAGTCTCATAACGTTGGAATATGGTTTATCTTATTGTCCTTAAGATATCCAGAACCCGGAAAGTATAGGGTGTCTCAAGCATGGTTTATGGAATATTTTGAAAGATGTATGATGGGGATCGTTTATCAAGATTGACTATTGTAAGTAACTGTATTCAAAGAAAAGTAAAGTCACACAGAATGTCTATTTATAATATACATTAAATATGTATTTTTACTATTCAAAGTTATTACATGCACTTGTGTATTTTAATTTATCCCACCCTAAGTGCTTTATATGATTGTATAATAGCATTGTATAACTGCAATATAAAACCAACACTCATCTTGAGAACGATATACAATCCCTGGATAGCGTATACAACTCCTGGGCAGCGTATACAACTCTAACTGCAGAATTTAGATTAACCTTTTATTGATCAAAGATTAGGGTGGGATAATACGATCATATAATAGTTGATTCTGTATATCGTTATACTCTCGTGAGTGAATATGATATATTCACTCGTTCCCTTCAGTCACTTGTGAATATATCATATACTCACTTGAGTATCAACACGATATACGGAATCAACCACTATATAACCTCATATTATATTACATGTATATAGTGTCTATATTAAAAAATAAATGAAATCAATTCGATACAAAAAATGAATACAATGCTCTGTAACTAAAAATGTTAAAGCAGTCAAAAACGAGGAAATGGAGCAGCGTATCAATAGAAAATGATAACACAGACATGAGTGTTTTTACAAATTTTTTACATATGATTTTATATCATATATTATTATGTAATAATTGGAATTATGAAATTATAATACGTTGTCCTTACACTAAGGTAACATAGCGTTGTGACATTGTTCGTATACTATACAAGGGTTACATAACGTTGTGATCATTCTTAATTCATTTGTTCTATACTTTCATATGTACTACTCCCCTCAACAAACTGTAAACAGTTCACTAGTATAAGTACAATGTCACGACGCTAATATTTCAGTCAAATTTGCTCTACGGCAACCGTACGGCCGTAGCTTCCCAAAATCAAGAGAGATATGCAACATAAAATATAGGGAATTATAGCAATACGATGTAGATTTTGTAAAACTACGGCCGGCACACGGCCACCGTAGAGCAAATGTGACTGAAACTTAAGTTACCTTGGTATAAGAATAACCATTGTCGGCAAAAAAAAACGTTTTCATCTTATTCAGAAGGTTTTTGAATTAAACGCTCATGCGCTGTCACCCATTTTGTATACTCTGTATAAAAATCAAAATTACAAACATAGTATGGTAATAGACACGACTACATATGATGATTCCCGTTGACACAAACGTGAAATTTGAAATTTCCTGTCCTAAATACAACTCTGAAGCTGAGCGGGTATCTGAAGTAGACTAAAAGCGCTGGAATCGCATATAAAAAATGTTAAAAACATTGCAAGCTTAAACGCTCTACTATCAAATATCAATGATAATCTATCTTGTACTAATACTAAAATATTATAACACATGTACAATATGTGATGCGCATTCTAGTTAAAGTAATAGATAAATCCAACACTTTTCCAAAATGTAATGTTTACAATTTAGATAAACGTTCTCAATGTTAAATATCTTTATCGTCCCACTTCTCTAGAGGTCAACGGACCACCATACTAAAAAATCAAAATACTTAACCAGTGTTACAAGGCAGTTGCATTATATTTCGCTTTATCAAGATCATCTGTACTTGAGGCTACTAAGCCTGGATTTGAAATCCCATTTTTTGAATCCGAATCAGAGGGGCTGGATACCTCTGCTGTCTTATCTGATGATTTGTATATACTCCTGTCGTACAGAACTGCCTTGAAAATGTCCGCACTTTTAGGGAGAATTCCATTATGGAAGAGCATGTTTGTGAATAGAGACACGCATATAATCGTCACCAGGCTGCATAACATTGACACCGCCCTGAACGGCATCTCATATGGGTATGGTATCACTTGTGGAAGCGACAATATCGGCTCACCTCCTCCTAATCTCAAGACAAGCCCGACGATATATCCACACACCGATCCGTAGGTATTTGATGGTGGCCAATGAACAACCAAGAGAAGTTGTGGAAACAAGATCACGAAAACAAGGTCGGAACAGAGAGAAAATAAATCATATATCGACTTCACTGTTATGCCCATCACTGTTGCCAAAGCACCAACAACAAATATACCAACCCTAAGAATCCAAAGGATTTCATTCTGGGATGCCTGAAAATGAAGACGCCAGCGTATGAATGAAGAATATATAAAAATGATCACAAACGTTTCATGTGTTTATCTCTTGAGATAAGATGCAGTCTATTTAGTGATGTCTTAGTATTTATTAAGCGACATATGATGCAACAATCCTTACCCTCCTCCTAAATATCATTTTGTAGACATTGTTGGCGAACATTGAGCTAGCAGAGAGAACGCTTGAATCCGCAGACGACATGACGGCTGCTGACACAGCACCCAAACCAACAAATGACACCCACGTGGGGCATAAGTATTGCAACACTAGGGGCAGGATCAGCTTGTTATCATCTTCTGGGATACTTCCGTTGGTCAAGGACCAATTGCGACCATCGGTAAAGTAATCTGTTTTATTCCAGTCTAAAATGCGAGATTACATACTTTAAACTATCAGCACCATATATTTTTGTTCAGCTTAATTTTTATGATACATGAATAAAGGAATGAGTATTTTCTAATTATGCACGGATGGATGGCCATAGTAGTCAATCCGAGTTCATAAACATTTAGTTATGCATGATGGATCGTTCATTGTTGAGTAATAATGAACAGCACATATGTACTAGGCGATCTCGGTTTTGGAGAATTTGCCATGATTGAATCTATCTTAAAGTACATCTGCAATTTTCACTCACACTGCTAATAAACCCATGATATCCCAAACTACGACATTCCCGGATGTGCATAATGCACGGCCGTTCATTTTTGAAGAATTAAAGAACGGATATGCTGCACTCTGATTGGTTGAGAAACTCAATTAGAGTACGGTCATGTTTGAAGCGAATTCAAATAACCTGTAGAGTAGCCTACTGCTCCAATGAGTATTGCGGGGATCGTCATTATAAAACACCCGAAAGCTCCAACAAATGAAAGCATCTGTGCCCGGCCTGCCGATCTTGATGACAGAACCCTTTGGAAATACGCCTGAAAGCATTATATGAAGTCATAGTTACCTAGTGAACATTTAATCGTGACCACGATCTCATTTACTGATACTGTAAAGACTTACACTTTAGTAATATTCCTACCTGCCACGGTATCCCACCAAATATAAGCAATAGGGCGTAGTCTAGCCATTTCCAATGTCTTTCACAGCTATCGTTCCTACCCATCCTGCTGTGCCTTCGCCTGGTAAAGCCGTTTGTGCAATAGGTGTCACTGCTTCGTGGGTCATGGCAAATGGAACAGAAAGCCACTGAAAATCATTGAATCGACGTTTGATGTATTGAATTGAATCGGGTAGATTAATATGATTAAATTGGATTTATAATGAATCAGTATCCATTCTTCTGATTCACTCTGCATCTTCTTTTTCTTTGACTTAAAAGGATCGTTTTTAATATTTTGTTTTTTTCTCCCATGGTCAAAATAATTCGACTTGAACTCCTACTGGATATATAAAGCCATTTGTCATTTTTTGTTATCTCAGCTTTTACGGAATACTTATTAAATTCAAAAATGAAACATTATTCCCAGTTTGATTTTGTTACAAGTATGCACTAACCAGTCCGATAAATATACAAATGAGTTGTACAATATCTGTATACGCCACTGAATATAGTCCTCCAAGTAATGTGTAGAAAACGGCTATACAAGCAGATACAATGATAGCTATCAGGTTATCAATCCCCATGACCACGGATAATGTTGCACCTAAATTAAAATATCACAAAGTCCATGGAAATGTCACTACACTATATATTATTGATTGGATTTGGTAATTTGTTTATCACTGAGGTAATGCCATTTTCTGCATGCGATAGAGAGATGGATAGAAAAATAATTGTAGCACTTCAGGTCAAACATTCTATTTTGATGGGAATTTTTAAATTATATTCTTTTCCATTGACCAGTTCCCCTTTCTACTGTTCATTCTAACCCTGGGACAAATAACATCATTCCTTGTTGCTCAGCTCTAAGGGTATCTGTTTCTTAGCGCCCGGATCGATCATGTTAAAGTATTTTTTAGCCAAACTTAATGTCATGCATGTAAATGCGATTAGAGGATGTCTGTCAATTTTACAAAGGTGTGATAGTTACCCAATGCTGATAGAATTGAAGCAGACCAGAAAACCTCTCCCATTAGTGCAGGAATGAAAAGAAATCCACCCATGACGTCACCATATTTCCGGGTAAATGGGTCAAGCATTGTGATATATCCTTGTTCCCTCATTGGTTTAGCGAAAAAGAAACCTCCAAGGGCGAGACTGGTAGCATATCCAAATGGTGCTTGGGTCCATGCTAACCCGTTGAAGAATGTTGCTTCTGCTGTTCCATTGATATACCCCCCTCCTACCCATGTAGCTGAAAATGACATCGTATGTTTCATAATGTAGCTGATTGTCGAAGAATGAGGTCCAAAAATAACTAACATGTTAAAATTATGTTGTTATGGTATGAGGTTCCATGTACAATGTAGCGATTTTTCATTTTTACAGGCTAGATACACGTGTCAGGTCGACAGAAACAGTAAGCATGTGTGATTTTTAAATTGCTACATTGTAGCAATATTTATTTCAAAATACAGGTGTGAGGGAAACTGCAATTTAGTTAGATTTGGGCGAAAATGGCCAAATTTCAGTCAAAATCCTCGGGACACAGGGCCTTTGTCTTAGATTTAGTCAATGATGCAACTCTTAGTAGAAGGTGTGCCATATAGGAAATGAAAGCTGTTTGTCAGACGTATCATTTTCTTGAATAAACTCAGAGATAGTCAGGTTAGATTTGTGACGTCACAGTGGCAAAGTTAGACTAGCATATTTAGACGTATTTGGGGTAGGGCAAATTAACCCTTTCTTGCCTAAACGGATAAATTTTTCATATATTCAGCCAGTTCCGACGTTTTTATGCATTTTTGAACTAGAAATGATATTTTCTGCCAAAAAAAGTTGCAGAGACAAAAATCAGTGTGATGTCATAACACATTAATATGAGGCCTAAAATTGTCTGCTAGTTGGCCAGAGACCAATATTCTGGCAGAATTTGAGAACAGAATCGATTTTTTCGTTCTGCGTAGGGCAAACAATGATTTGGAATCACTTTCAACCATTCTGTGAGTATAAGAATGGTCATAAGAGGCCCGTGGAGGGTCTGGAATGAAAGAAAGCCCTCTGAAATTCCGTCAAAATTGCAGGTTATTTCTTCATTTTTTGCTAAAATGACATGATTTTCAGGGCCCATATCTCAGTGAAATTGCTACAATGTAGCGATTTTTCATTTTTACAGGCTAGATACACGTGTCAGGTCGACAGAAACAGTAAGCATGTGTGATTTTTAAATTGCTACATTGTAGCAATATTTATTTCAAAATACAGGTGTGAGGGAAACTGCAATTTAGTTAGATTTGGGCGAAAATGGCCAAATTTCAGTCAAAATCCTCGGGACACAGGGCCTTTGTCTTAGATTTAGTCAATGATGCAACTCTTAGTAGAAGGTGTGCCATATAGGAAATGAAAGCTGTTTGTCAGACGTATCATTTTCTTGAATAAACTCAGAGATAGTCAGGTTAGATTTGTGACGTCACAGTGGCAAAGTTAGACTAGCATATTTAGACGTATTTGGGGTAGGGCAAATTAACCCTTTCTAGCCTAAACGGATAAATTTTTCATATATTCAGCCAGTTCCGACGTTTTTATGCATTTTTGAACTAGAAATGATATTTTCTGCCAAAAAATGTTGCAGAGACAAAAATCAGTGTGATGTCATAACAATCTAGTCTTTTCAGCGTAATTTATATATTTTGAGAAGTATAGTTATTACGCACTTATTCACCCGATTACTATTATTTACAGTTTTGCATGTCCGAAAATCAGATGGAAGCGACCCAAACGAATTCATAAAACACGTTCTTATCGCTCGCATCAGATTTACTGACCACCGATGGAGTATTTCGATTCGGGACATTCAACGAATATTTTGCGTTTTAGCATTAAACACTTACACTGGCTTTATGACAATGTATCAATAGGGAGTTTAAGCTTGCAATGTTTTTCACAACGGAAAATGCGATGCATTTGTATGGGCGATCGGTCAATCCTTATTGGTTGGCGTTCCCATTATATGGAAGCTTAAACTCCCTAGTGTCTACCCCAAAATGTGCAAACTAAAAACCGACTATTCTACTGTCTAATAGCAGAGGCGTTTACAATATTCGAGCAGCAAAAGTATCAACAATGGCGCCATGCGTATCGAGTACATGCCTACCCTGCAGGGGGGGGGGGATTTCCCATAGGCGACCTTTCGTATTGGCTAGTATTGGCACGTTCGAAAACAAATTTTATAACAGGCCTCATTTGCCAAATGTTCGCTGTAGTTTTATGAGTATTCTCTACAAGTATGGATCGAGTAACTTCAATAGTATTACCGTAGGTTTGAAATGATGATGTTGAACTGATGTTAACGCCATTCCCACGATTTGAAATTTAACTTTGCGCATGTACAGCAATGAGAGAGCACGTGCTCATGATTGTTCACGTGATCAAATCCTGCAATTTGAATTGGAGATGATGCAGGAGATGACGTAATGGGGAATCCCCGAATACGATAGAATATGAAAGAATTGTGGGAGCGTACAGTCTGTTACACTGCTTCAAAGGCAAGCAGTTAAACCTGAAATATAAGAAATTTAAATAATATTGTGCATGTTAATTCTCAAAAAAATAACATGGGGGACAGACCTCAAATTACAAGATGGCACAGACTTATTGCACTAAACACTAAATAATCTGAAATATACAAATGTCATTCGTGTGCAATATGAATATATTTTTCTATATATTATGGTACAATGGTCTATAGATTTCTTATTTTTCAGGTTCAACTGCTTGCCTTTGAAGCAGTGTAACAGGCAGTACTCACTTCTGCCTCCCCTGTACATTTCTTCAGCGTACACGGCGCTACATGACCAAACCTTTAGAATTTAATATATTGTCAATGTGACATTTGGAGTAGTTGATTTTATTCAATTTGATTCAAATACAGAATGACACACATTTTTCTTTGAGGGTCTGTGAATGAAATTATCAAGTCTGATAAATTCAAAACATATTCAATTGATTGAAGCCTAGATAGTATCACAGGCAGGTATCGAAAAAATTGTCCGCTGTGACTGAGCAAGCTATTTTTCATGAAAACACTAAGTAAACTCACAATTTATTTTTTAACTCATATGTTTCGTTATACAAAAAAAACAAACTTACTCCATGCAATGGATATACCATTTGATGGTAACCTACACTTAAGTTTGAAGTGAAATAACGCTCGGCTTGAGTATCGGATAAGCTAAAATGTACCATTTCTTTTTAATGGTATGATAAAGTGTCATAGAAATGTTTACACATGTTTTCAGCATAACCGAGACGGTACTAATGCGATCTGGATGTATTTTGTCTTTTTAATTGTTTTCAAAAAAATAATGTTTAATTTTTTTGTCCGCTGTGACGGAGCAGCTTCAGATGTGAGATATATTGATTTATAAAATATATATAATTGATACAATTAAAAATAATGTTTTTTTGTTTGTTTTTTACATACTTCACATTTATTTCTATAAATCATCCGGTTACATATGTACAAATTGCCATTTTTAACAAGACAACATTATCGGCAATTGAAACAATGTTGATAAATAAAAAATTGATATTTAGAAATACACAAAATAGAGGAGATTTTTTCTTTTTGTTGTTGTTTGGTTTTCTTGTTCCCCAGTCCCAAGTGATGGTATGAAAATCAAACGTTAAAAATTACTATGTCCCAGACTTTGTATAGCTTGAAAAGCATAGTGAGCAGTAATTTCAATCAGTTTTTCATTTGCTTAAATGTCCAAATTTCCATTTCCATTCAATAGAAAATATGTTTTCCTTTGAATTGAGTAAGGTTCAAACTCACAACAGTTCAAGTCTAAAAGTCCTACAAGAAGAATTTCA